GGCTCTAGTTGCCTCTCGTTGTATATTGTACTGAGTTTGATACCAGAATTGCAAATGTATTCGTCTTATCTACTCTCTTCTTCTCCTAGGTTCGACTTGGTCATTTGATATTTCCTCTATAGATAATTTTGATTTATTCGGAAATGTTCCCCATGATCTGGAAAGTAATGAGTCATTCTGATATTCTACAGTGCAGAAAGTACAGAACTATCTACATACTACCCTACTTGTTAGGGCCCGTATGATATGTTGAGGTCATTATGACTAAACCCTGTTCAAGTCGCGATTTTCCTTTCAGTGTGGGTGCTTCTGTGGCGGTCGGATTCGATGCTGGGTCTCGTCAGGGCTCAGGGCGTAGGTATAACGGGTGTGAAGTAGTCGGAACTCCAATTCAAGTTGCGTGCTGTTTTAATTACTTGATTGTTCAATGTTCAATTTTCTTGATTGTTATGGTGTTATATTATTGTATTGTTGTATCGTAGGATATTATTGGATACTTCCAAGCCGTAGTTAATTATTGGATCAGGGCTAAGTCACGGTGAAGTCATAGTCAAGTCCAAGCGCTTTGGACGGCACCCAAGTATGAAGTCCCAGTACAAGGGTGGTGGCCCACGTTCTTTTGACTATTTCTCTGAACGGGTCAAAAACTATTGCAATCTCGGAGACCATTGTCTGTTGATTATCATCTAACTGTCAAAAGTCCTGTACTTATGATGTTGCCTCCTTGTTATACGATGAGAAACCTTCCGAGAATATTCGGGGTGGAATCGAATGCCTTGATTCCATGTTGACTTGAAAAGAATAATGTCCAGGCATGAGCTAGTATGTTGTTGCAGAGTTTCCCATCTGATTTTGGATGATAGTGTTGTTGGACGTAGGTACTAACCCTTAAGACATCACCGGTTTGGATGGGGTGGGGAAGGGCAATATTGCGACCGAGAGGTTTCCCCCAACCCGATACCATAATGCCAAGGGGGAGGGAATACATTATGATAGAAACACGACGAAGGGCGCGTCGGTCGCAAAGGCATGCCGGTTACTGGCTACAGGTTACATGAAGAAGAAAAGATGTGAATCATAGAAGACAGCATTAAAGCGTCTTGTCATGAGATGATGCTCGCTAAGGCATCATGTTAAGGGAGCCCCCATAATGTACATGCCCATGACTGATCCATCAATCGATGGCGAGCAGTAGCATCGATAAAAAAGCAAAATTGCGAAGCAACCCGGTGCCGAAACCCATTGATATTTGAAAGCAAACCCATCATGTATCGCCAGTAGTCATGATAAAAGATAAAAAACAAACCCCATGATCGCCTGTCAGAAAACCAGCTCGTTGAAAAGAAAAATTACGAGCGCTCGCCACGGAGACGGCGGGCCAACTGGATGTCCTTGGACTGGATGGTGACACGCTTGGCGTGGATGGCGCACAGGTTGGTGTCCTCGAAGAGAGAGACGAGGTAAGCCTCAACGGACTCCTGGAGAGCACCGATGGCAGAGGACTGGAAGCGGAGATCGGACTTGAAGTCCTGGGCGATCTCGCGGACCAGACGCTGGAAGGGGAGCTTGCGGATCAGAAGCTCAGTGGACTTCTGGTAGCGACGGATCTCACGGAGAGCGACGGTACCTGGAGATGGAACGTTAGAAAATGTTCAGAAGTGGACTGGGTGTATGTCTTGTTCGACATGAGATAGAACTTACCGGGCTTGTAGCGGTGAGGCTTCTTGACACCTCCGGTAGAAGGGGCGGCCTTGCGGGCGGCCTTGGAAGCGAGCTGCTTACGGGGAGCCTTGCCACCAGTGGACTTACCTATTCGAGACAGTTAGCAAAATGTTTTCTTTTGTTGAACGCGTGAGCGCGTCACCAAATCCTCCCCTCAACGCGAGACCCGACGAATCAGGTATCGCCAGTGGGTGGGGAAAAGGTGAATAAAATATGATATAAGAAATACTTACGGGCAGTCTGCTTAGTACGAGCCATCTTTGATGATAGACTTGATGGAAAAGTGGTTTTGTTGATGAAAGAGTTGGTTGGCGTTGGATGGATGTAAAAGGGAAGAGAGAGGTGGGTGGGGGGAGAGTATTTGTAGGAGACGGGAGGGGGGAATTGATCTGAGAGGGAGCCACGAATCAGGGGAAGTGAGCCGATCAGAGGATCAATCAGCAGAATCAGCGCGTAGGACTGGGGACTGCGTAGCGTGTAGCCCAGAGACTGATTTGCGGTGAGTTCTGATTGGCTCAGCTAGATCAAAGTGCTGGTACTGCCAACTAAGCGAGCCCTGGACCAATGAGAATGCAGGATCAGTGAGTATAGAATGCCAAACCCTTGAATTCTTGATCTTGCAACCAGCCTCCTTTAGATCAATAATTAATGCATTCTAAAGTATTCGACACCCTTTGGAATGTATAATTGTTCCTTTTTTATTGTAGATTTACATTGTTGGTGGCGGATTATAGGAGGATCAAAGATGGGCCACGGCAAAGTCGGCGTTCCAACTCTGGGGTCACCCGGTAGATCAAGGTTGGTCTGTGATCCTGTGCTCTCATTGGTGGACACGATCCCTAGCGCGTGATTTCCCAGTCTTCGCTCATTCCCGTATCATACAAATATCCTCTGTCCACTTCCGTTTCCTTTCCCTCTTTTTCAATCAATTCATCGACAACCACTCAACTACCAACTCCTCTTCATAACATCTCCACAACCCCCTTTTTCTTCTAATCCATATTCAATATGTCTGGCCGTAAGTCACTACCCCACAGTTCTGTTTCTTCAAGCAACGCGTTCTAACGCGTCTCATTTCAGGCGGCAAGGGTGGAAAGGGTCTCGGCAAAGGTGGTGCCAAGCGTCACCGCAAGATTTTGCGTGACAACATTCAGGGAATCACCAAGCCCGCTATCCGTCGTCTCGCACGCCGTGGTGGTGTCAAGCGTATCTCCGCTATGATCTACGAGGAGACCCGTGGTGTCCTCAAGACCTTCCTCGAGGGTGTCATCCGTGACGCTGTCACCTACACTGAGCACGCCAAGCGCAAGACTGTCACTTCTCTTGACGTTGTCTATGCTCTCAAGCGCCAGGGCCGTAAGTTTCCACGTGTTTCTCCATTGCATGACCCGTCTCTAACCTTGCTCTTCAGGTACCCTCTACGGTTTCGGTGGCTAAATCATTTGTTCTTTTCTTTTCCGGGCTGGTTCACGGTACGACGGGACGTTGGGGTGTTCTCTGATTTATTTTACTACAACTGTCATGGGTCTCTGGGTTTGCTTTTCATAACACTCGATTACCACTATTGCGCGTCCATGGTGTGCGCTTCTGAGCTTTTCTGTATCATAGCGGCCTCCACATTACGGCTGGCACCATGGACATGGTGGGATCAAGCACTTAAGTGCGATCCGATACGAATACATTCAAAACTTGAAATAATTTTGACTTGTTTGGTCTTTCTAGTAGTATACGTATACCTCGGCGTGTAGATGTTTCGTATCTTGGCCCGTTTGTTTTATTATGTTATATTGTCGATCTTGATATTCTATTGCTGGTATTTATGGCTTGGTCATTGTCATGTTCGGTGGCGTGGTCTTCGCGGTTTACGGTTGCTTGACGCGTTGTTTTGACTGCCTGAGGCCTAGATTCCCATGCTCATCATCAACTCATGATTGATGTATAGGATTTGATTAAACCTCAATTCCACTGACCCGTAATGCCTATTCATTAAATTATGTCTATTCAATCTAATCAGCCTATGTCACGTTGTTGGTTTCCTTAGTACATCCATAGATGGCTTCATGGTGTGCGTTGTACGCGTGTCTAGATCAGCTTCGTCCCACTATAATTTGTTTTTACTTTGTGCACTAGTTCTCTTTTTTGTCTATTCAGACGGCATACTGGCTTGGTGTGTTTTAGTGGAGGGTTGCTTAAATAGTGAGTGCGGATATACCTGTAGTGTAATAATATATATATTAGCTCTAGCACTAGCCTGCAACATCACCCAACTTGTCAAAATGTATACATTTCACACAATTTACCACTGGAGGGAACTGAAGCATTTGAATTTCACCCAACTGCCCAGATTAGAACACTAGAGACCACCACCGTGGTGTGGTGAGCAAAACAATACAAGTCGAAGTTGAACTACCCAAAACGGCAGTTCAACTTTACTTGGCGATATCAAACAATTCTGATCTACCCACAACTAAGTAAACACATATATTCTACTAAATTACCAGGGTCAGAGTGAAAAATTATGTTTAAAATTGAATCATACTCCTTCCTTTTTGAACACTGAGCAGGTGGTGGAAGTCCCGTTGTCCGCTTGTCATATGAAGACACATGTGAACCCCCGAAAAGGGAAGTCCAACATCTCTTGGCACTCCGACCCGAGGGCGCTTCTCATAACCCGAAGCGCTCTTTCGCCATTACACCCCCAAATATCAAGATCAAGATAGCCCAATGTCTAATAAACCAGAGACCAAGGATGGCCGAGTTTCCCATAACCCCCTAGGACAGACCAAAGCACTGGCATGTGACAAACAAACCGCGTAATGTACGAGGTCAAAAGACAGATAAACACCCCAGACCTGAATGTACCTGGTCTGCCCTTATATTATCCCCCACACTGCCCTCGCCCTCAGTCCTACCAATCTCATCACTCTCATCACGGCCACCACCCTTGCTACCCGAGTCACAAACCCAAAGAGAGCCAAGTACCAACATCATCAAGATCCGCCATAACTCCGCCACGATAGCAAAAAAGCAGCCAATGGAAACAAAAGCTACACAGACCAGAGAGTCTCCCCAAAGTGTCGCAAGGTACTGCATCATGTGCCACATGGACGACAAAACCACTAACAATACCGCAGCCTACGCTCTGACCCCAAATATAGCGACTTCACCATTGTGTGCGAAGGCGAAAAAAATGCTGTGCACAAGTGCATCATTTGCCCAAGATCGAGGTTCTTTGCTAAATTCTGCGATGGTGGATTTGAAGTGAGATACACACCCAGATGGCGGGAACAAGACCCAAGAGGCTCACACCGGCCAACCAAACACAGGAATCGGCTACAAACAGGGTCATATTACACGAGAAGCCGACACTAGTCAAGGGGGTGATTGACTACCTGTACACACTGGACTACAAGGTGGAACTCCCTCCACCAGCAACAAACCTCCCTCAGCAACCAGATGGAGAAAAAGCCCGAGATAACCAAGAAATGTCTACCCACATGCCCGAAGATGCAGGAGCAGCATGGGATATCCTGTCATTTCACATACTGATCGAATGTTCATCCACGGGCTCAAGGTCCTCTCGAAGGAAAACGTGGCAAAAGAGCTGGCGCGGCCGCTCTACGCGAGGGCGTTCCCACATGCGATCTATGAAATATACAACCCAACACCCTCAAGTGACTGAGACCTACGAGACCTGGCAGTGGGAATTACTATGGAAAACCTCATAAGCCTGAGAACTGGAGCGCAAAATATGGACCCAACGGAGGCGGGAACAGGAGAGGAACCAAGACCTGCGTCTTTTCCAGATTCCCTGGTGAGCCCTGTCCCACAATTTTCGTCAGACTTGACCGTGGCAATGATGAACAGAACGGCTGCAGACTGGGATTGCTATGGAATTTGCATGCCGAACTGGGACCCGCAGGATACTTAATGGGGTACTCACTCCGAGGTTAACCCCGACAAAAAAGCAGGAAAGCTGACGTGATATTTGATACGAACGAGACAAGACTGCTGCGATAATTCACCCTGTATTGCAAGAAAACTGTAGTTGTAGTCGAGAAGTACTATGTAGGTGATCAACCTCGAGTAAACTGCACAAACGACAAACATAACCAGCTATTATACGGAACAGAAGGTGATTCGAAGGTGATTCGAAGGTGACAAAACGATCCCGATAAATATATAGCAGATAACACAACAGAGCGAGCATATGCGTGTAAGACCAAACCATCAGCTTGATACCCAGACTGACTTGGTTGATCCCGCAACAACCACCCGCCACCATAAACACCTGCTTACACCATTACACAGACCGAAGACAACAAGGAAACAAAAGGGTATGGGGTAATGGTACAGACAAGGGTAAGGGAGACTGGGATAGGATACCAGAGGTGTCATTCCGGCCACGGTGATACGATTGACGAGATATTCGAAGACCAGCATGACTTCCTCAATTACCACATAGTGCAAAGAAAGACACAAGTGAATACCGGCTTGACTCTATGCTGACTGTCAAATTGCTAGTACCTAGGTACCTCACTGACCTCCGAATCGCCCGTCAAGTGAAGCAGATGAGACCTGGTTTCCTCACGCCGTCAACCCTCACCCGGTGAGACATCTATCAGTCTCCCCGACCGACTATTGCCGAATACCCTCCATAGAAAGCCCCGATACCCCATAAAATGAGTCCTAATCGTTACGAACTGAAAGATGAACCACGCGGTATAGCGAGGAACCTGGCCAAAAGCGACACCGCGAACAGTTGATGAACACTGGGTCAACGTGCTGGAGTCTTATTTGGGAACACATCCATGGATATGGTCTTCGGTATTTTACAGGGCATGTGGTAAGCCAATAATCCGAATGGGCCTGCTGGAACACTGAAAATAATCATGAAGGAATCATGCTCAACTGCACGGGAGCAGAATCCGCAGCAATATTTACGAATAACTCGACATAATGCCACTGGAAACCAGTCTACGTGTTGACTCGTCTGGCGCTGAACCGAACCAAGCGCCGCAAGGGACTGAGCCTTCAAATATTGCACCCTGATGGCATGTGACACATAAAAACTGCAATAGGAGATTCTAGGTGTAAGTTCTATTGCACAACAGCACAAGCGCCAACGAGCTCTACGACCACATCTCTTTGCTCGAAATTCCTTCACGCAGATGGATCAAATTGTTAAATTGCTAAATTGTTAAGAAAGCGGGCAATAAAAAAGAAAGAAAGAAAGAGAGAAAAAAAGAAGAAAAAAAAGATAGACATAGCATGTCCTGGTTTCGATCCAGGGTCCTATTGTAATTGTTAGTTTGATGTTTGTGGGTTAAACTGGTTGCGGTGAAACGTACCTCCGGGTTATGAGCCCGGCGCTCTTCCCCTGAGCTAACATGCTGGAATGTTGAAATATCAGTCTTCATTTGCCTACATCAAGGGAAGTCAAAATCAGGATACAACACCTTATTGTACACCAAAGAAAGCCATTTATTATAGTAACCCTAACTCACGAGACACTCTTGTGGTGAGCTCAAGCTCTTAATTAAACGACCAGGTATACATTGACAAAAAAATATTTTGATTTGAAGGGTCTGTTTTACGGAGAATCTTAATTGCCTTGGATATGATAGGTTCTACTTGAAGAGCCTTAACATCATTGTCAGATAGTACGTTGGTAACCATCTCTGTTACTACCGAAATGTGTTTCTGTGATAAGCCGGTATAATACCTCGGGAAACCCGTTCATAGGAACTCCGTACTCGAAGCCATCACCTGTAGGGATCAAACTTGATTGCGACTGGACGCCACCATATCTAGGATTTACCTTCTCTTTCCTATTCAGGAAATACCCATGCCTTGCAGCTTGCCGCCTCGGTTTCAAGCCGGCATCCTATGATCCAAACATATAGGCTCATTGCTATCCGTGGCATCCAGCTTAACATGGTTGCGTACTTTCTATTGGTTATGGCTCAGAGAATGTCAATGCAACTACATATCCTTGTGTCACGAACAAATATGGTACAAGATCGACTCTATAGCTACTTGTAGGTACCGGCCTGGTGGTCTCTATACTCAAATATATAGACGTTGTTCATGTATACCCCAAGGGGCAATCGGCTAGGATATTTCAATGGTCTGTCAGAAGGGCTATCACAAGCAATTCATCTGGAGGCTGGCTTATGGTGTGCCTGGTCATTGATAGGCTCCTGGGTTCCAACGCTATACGGTACAGGTACCAGATACGAACGAAACATAATTATTATTATTACACTATCAGAGACATGTGGCATTCCGGAATAGAGAAATCGATCGTGGCTAGCTTCTAAAATTCTAGAATACACGTGTACATAGGCAACTAAGTAAGGAATTTGCCATCCCTTGCTGTCGTGAGCTGCTAAGCCACAATTATTTTCCTAACAAAGGTCCTTGGAGTCTCCTTTCTATATTTCCTTGACTCAAAATGACGAAGCGCATAGTATGTGCATACGCGGCTAGCCTCGTCTATACAGACACGTGATAGCTTTTCGAAATCGCCAAGGTGTGAGTCAGAACAATCAGTCAGTGTTGGTAATCCTCGGGGAATAAATGACGAACATCGGGATAATCAATAATCAACCACAACAAAGATGCGCAAAGCCCAAAAAAATTTAAAAGAATACACGTCGAATACGAATTTGAAAGCAGGAGCATGGTCCTCCGACGGTGTCGGTGATGCCCGGAGGCCGGCATTCCGGAACGAAAATAGAAAGCTTCCAGAAGAATAAAAACACAAACGCTTTACTGAATGCAGCCCTAGCGGCATGCACAAGCCACGAAAATTCCTTCTGGAACATACCAGAAATACCGAATACGATTACCTGCAGATCGTGGCTGTTCCAAGTGCCGTATGGTAACAGGTTAAACCGGCAACATGAACGGCGTGACGGGGATTACCGAGAAGTGGCTGTGCAGCCCTAGCTGTCACAACCAATCATTTACATTGAAAAGAATTTTCACTGTGCATTAGGCTGTTACTAAAAATGATCCTGCATGACAATCTCGCAGTCCCATCGCCGAGAACCCGGAATTTAAAGTGCTGACATAGGGTTTTTTTCTTTTGATCGGGATTAGATGCCGGTGAAAATTTTTCTACTTGTCTTTTCTAAATCCTTATGCAGGGGCCCTCTATGTTGACACCTGCCCAACCGAGAAGGTGGTTTATGTACGTTGTAAATAAGGGTGTCTTCGGTAGACGAATCCACCTCTCAGATCTACGTATCCGACTATGTATATCTGAGTGGGCCATTGGATCTAGATACTTGGATCAGCTGAGGGTGGTTTGCCACTTCCCCGGACTCTGTAGGGGCCACGTTTTGGGGTGCCCTTGAGGAATCTGCCAAGATATTTCCGGGTCCCTCTTCGGAAAAAGGGAGATCACTCGGATATGGGCCAGACTGTTCGGTAAGCACGGCAGACCCCGGACCCGATTTGGCGTTTGTAAACCGAGAAAATAATTTAACCTCCGAAAATATGCCGGTCGGATATATGTTGCGCTAGTGGATTTCAAAGGTAGATCTTTAAGAGGTCACATGGCACCTGTTAGTTAGACTATTGTTGCTGCCTTTGAGTTTTGCGCCTAAAGAAGATCTAAGCTGGAAAGTCGGGGTTTGCCGATGCTGGTCAGTTCGGAGGCCCTTGATCTAGGATCTGATACCCTGGCATTTAGCGTCCAAACCATTAATGCATATGCACGGTTGAATAGTGACAACGCTAAAACAGAAAATTTCGAATGTAATTCTCAGTACATGGCATTCTTACCATGCTACTTCTGGTGTTCCGCGTGCCACAAAGCCCGCGCTAATAATTTAGCTAATCTGTACATCTAGGGATCCGAGCGCTGGGAAAATCTGAAAATACCAAAATCAACATCAATACTCCGTATCCAATTTAATATTCCAACCTAATTCCCAACACTTTCTGAGTCAAAGGGGAAAACATATGATTCACATGTGATTGAGTCATCGAGTCATCGAACAATGCAAACCAGAAAATTAAGGCAATCAGCCCACAACAAAGAGACCATGTGACCATGATCTTAGAACCTTGCGCATAAGATTCTTGTGTAGCCTACAAAGTAACAATGATAAACCAAATTGGGCATTTCCCGCCGAGCCTATGTATGCTAAGAGCTAAGTCATGTAGAGGCAAGCGCTTACTTGCATCTGAGAACAAGTCTAAGACATGGAAAGCATACACGACAGCCCTTCGCTTAAGATAATAAAAAAATAAAATAAAAAAATAAAAAAATCTCGTGGTGACTCTAAGATCTGGGGTCAGCTGGTCATCAAGTTCCTATACACAAACAAGATCCATGGACCGTGTCCTACTTCAGCTTATCATGCCATTAGATGCATGGTCAGCTGACTATCGCGTCTGTCGAACTACGGCCGAGCGGAACCCGCCGATTGGCGCGTAGTGGGGAGATATTGCAAGACAATCCCAAGACAACAAACAACACCAAGACCATCGGAAGACAATTGAGAGACAATTACTCCACAGCCACAATCTTGAGTATTCGAGTCTTAGAATAATTGGTTCCGAGTACCAAGGAACAAGAAGAATGTGCTCTGCAGGCTTTCCCCATGTTGTGCAGGAAGGAACGTTGGGACGGCCGACCCGAACCATTGGGCACCAGCCACATGGCCCAATCTCGATATGGCTAGTGTACATAAAGAAAGTATGGACGAATGATAATAATATAAAATAATAAAATATATCTCGGCTGAACAACTCTCCGGGTTTCAATTCCACGTTTGTAGAGATTCTAGTGACTTCTGACTCACCGGAGATAGTAGACCAGGCCGAATTACCAATTCCCAACGGACCAGAAATTTAGCATGCGAAATGTGCACAAAAACAAACTAGGTGTGGCTCAGCCTTAAGGGTATTTCCTCGGCATCTCCACCCCCATTTTTCCTAATTTTGGCCCTGGTCACCCGAGTGCAAATCGGAGCTAGTTCTAGACGATGCGACGGAATTTTTTAATTTTTAATCTAATTTTTTCCCCTTCCTTTTCTTTTCTAAGCGATGTACTGTAAACCTTGGCTGAATCCTTTGCCCGGAATTCTCAATAAACCTTTTTTCGAAAATATTTACTAATGTAGATCTTAAACAATTACCATTGACACCCAAAAAAGCCCAATCACATAGAATATTAGGTATGGTGGATCCTTGTGGCTTTTGTGTATCCTGTAAGCCACAACTTCACGAGGGAAACGAGTGAAAGAAGATCCCCAGGTCAGATCAGTGGAACTCGGTAAAATTGTGGTATGTGGTTATACGAATCCTATCCCAATTTGGACTAGCGTTGAACTTGGGTACAATCAAAAAATATAAAAAATAATAATTACGTTAAATACGCCAAATACACTAAAATGGTCAATACGGTAAATTCTTGTTCGGAGAGGCCGAGCTAGTGTGAGGTCATCTAAGTACAGAGTCCTGGAGCGCTCTTTATTAACTCCAGTCCTCCCGACCTCTTTCAACTTTATTACTCATACCCAAAACAACTCTGACTCTTGAGATCATCATATCAAGTAAGATTTGCTCTTCCTCCGGTCGAGTCATTCTCCAGAACCAAACTCATACCAACCACAGTCAACCTCATTAAAGTTCCAGCCCTCTTATAATTCATTCGATCAGCCTCCCGACGTTTCCAGACTCTTCGCTACCTGAAGATTTGAACCAAAGTCTCCAATCCAGACTTCTACAAAAGCACGGCCACAATTGATCAGGAAATCTTAATCGGATTTTGTACCGTCGGGTTCTATAAAAGCTCGCCTTTCCCCGGTGGCGAAACCTACCCACTTTCTCTGACGTCCCCCAACACCGTGATAACATAATGCTTATGTACCCACGTAAGGGTCTCATCACCGATCCATACAACTCAGAGGACATCATCATACAAGACGACCAGTACCCACCTGATTTCTATTCCGAGAACGCTTTGCACTACGATCAATCTCGTTTGCAATCACCGTTCCAGTGCCACCCCAGTGTACAGCTCTCCCCGCCATCTTCCGCACCTTCCTCGCCTACTTTCTCCTCTCCGACCTTCTCGACTTCTTACCCGCAGACGTCTGACTGTCAGTCTTTCGGGGCTCCTTCGATGACCCCGGCGCCTTCATATAACCCGTCGTACGACATTCAGGGTTCCAATTCACCTTCGCACTACTTGCCTCAATATCCCCAGCAATATTATACGCCGATGCTGGTGCAACAGCCTCTCGCCGGTAACCAGGGTTGGGACAGCAACCTGCAGTTGTTGAGCCCCGCGCGCATCCCATACGCCGGTGTACAAAAGAGATCTTCGCCTTCGGCATCCTCGCGCTCAGCCCCCTCGGGATTGGCACCCAACAACTACCACCGCCGTTCCAACAGCGCCAACAAGCCGCTGCCAACCCCGGTGCAAACTCCTATTCAGAATTCATTCCTTGCGACTCCCTTCCAAAGTTTCGATCCCTCCTCCCAAGATGGTCACAACGCCGAGGCCGAGTCTGCTATGAGAAAAGCGATCATGGATCAACAGAAGCAGTCACCTCCGCAGCAAATTCAGAACGACTACTCACTGGCTCCTTCGGTGTCAACAATGAGCCATAACTCGCCGGTGACTCCGCAAACTACCCTCGACGAACTCGACGACGCATCCAAGTCGATGACCAATGGTGAGAATCGAATTCCTGATATTGATACGTGGATGGACCAATACTTACGTCTCGACGCACCTCCAGAATATAATAGCGCCAATGGTGCCATGTCAATTGGAGTCCCCAAGCTGAACAGAACCATTTCCGATATATACCAAGACGAATTATACAACCCCACCATGATGGCTGCGCCCCAGGTATCCAAGTCGATGGGACAACAGCACCTCAACCCACGCAATTTTATTGCCGATCGCCTGCAAGCTGCCAACCAAGGACATCTATCTGCTCGTTCGCAATCGCCTGCCAACCAACGGGATCGCTCACCTTTCCGTGCCTCTTCTCCATTTGCCGGTGACATGGGTAACAACACTCTCCAGCAGCCTCAGATGGCTACCAGCATGCCTATGGGGCAGAACGCTATGAACGGAATGAACATGGGCCAGACCTCAAACACTGGAGATATCAAGACTATGTCCCCCAAGGATGCAGTCTTGGATTTCCAAGACAACGATGATGCCATGCCCCCTCTGTGTTTCCCCCAGGCCAGGCTGATTTCAACCTGGGTGATGCGCTTGGCTTGCGACACAATAATGGCTCAATGCGACCGATGGAAGCTTTCCCTCAATATTCGGTACCCAGCATGGCCCAGCCACAATTCGCATTTTCCGAACCTCAGATGCATCGCCCTCAGAGTAACCTCTTGCAGCAGAGTACCGAGTTCCCTTCGCTTCCAGCAGTGGAATCATCTACCGAGAGCTCGCCTCCAAGCCAAATGAATATGTCGATTACCGAGGGTATTCCCCGTCCCGCCAACACATCTTCGGATGCAGGCACCTACACTTGCACCTATCACAACTGTTCCGACCGCTTCGACTCTCCCTCCAGACTCCAGCGACACAAGCGCGAGGCACACCGGCAAACAACACCGGGCGGCCACCTTGTCAGCCGCGACACCTCGCTCCGCAACTCCCAGGCTGGCCCGCACAAGTGCGAACGCATCAACCCGTCTACAGGCAAAGCATGCAACTCTATCTTTTCTCGGCCTTACGATCTTACACGGCACGAGCATACGATCCACACTGCCGGGAAGCAGAAGGTGCGCTGTCACATCTGTAACGAGGACAAGACCTTCAGCCGAAACGATGCTCTGACAAGACGTAAGTTTCGATTATTTTCTTTTCTTTGCTTTTTACCCCTTAAGTTGATCATACGCTAATTACATTAATTACAGACATGCGTGTGGTTCATCCCGAAATCGACTGGCCAGGCAAGCAGCGCAGGAGAAGAGACTGAGAGCGCCTTCCACGTCATAGTCTACCGGATCGGCATGCCGAACGTCATAGGTGGACCCACTTAGGTCCACCAAAAATCCGGGGCTTCGTCATCATGACGACATAGTTCCCTAATCCTCATGATCCTCATGAACTCTCTGTATTACTATTCGGATCCCGATTTTTATTTATTATGTGTATGATTTTACGTTGATGATTTTGTTTTCCATGCGCAAGCCCCTATTAGCATTGGTTGGTGTGTTTCTTTCTTGGTTTTTTTTGGCTTTTTTTCCCTCTATTTTCTGTCTATGGCTTTTTGGGTCTGGGAAAAACAAACGGTTTTGGTGTTGTACATTTCTGTTGTACATGGTGTTGCTGCATTTTTGACTCTAGTACAGTGTGTCCCTCTTGTACTATATAGTACATTCCTCCAAAAAAATGTATATTAGCTTTTGGATATGACATGAATTCATTTGGAAATGATCTATCACTTTCCACTTCACACTCCACTCTCCACTCCACAATAACACTGGGAACGGTGAAACACTCCTCTTCGTCTGAAACAATCGAGGGATAGAATCGAATCCCTCGCACCCACCTACATCACACCTGCATATTTATGTCCACTTATGTCAGCCATCTTCAAAAGGTGCTCAGCGCCGATCCCTCAGTGCACTATGTATGTGTTAGTTATGTGTAACACAATCATAGGTACATTTGTTTAGAATGTATCTCGTACATTGTAGAATAATTAGTTGACAAAAATACCCACTATGACCAAGGTCATTGAATAATTGTACAATTGTACAATTATATAGTGTGTATTTGTATCGCAATAAATTAATTTAACATCTCCACGGACGAGTCCCGATTCGCCCTGGTCGCATATTATGCTCTGTGCTCTGTACTCCGCATTGCATCAACAATGACAATTAACCATTAATATCTTGTACAATCAATATCGCAGCGAAGAAGTGCAAGTTGTGCCAAGAGTATGATCCCATGATTGCGTAAACCCATCAAGAAACCCTTGGAGCAAACCCAAGCTCATCCACACTCCGGCCTGATAAGCAATTTAGTTACCAGCATCCCGGTACCCGGTGCTGTGATTGTTTGGATAGGGTTTTATGGGATCTTGGTTTGAGTGGGAGTGTCGACGTAGTTGTCAATAATAGTACAATGTTCAGTACCAAGTTCAGGATCTCATCCTTGTTCAGTTCCATGTAACGGAGTTGCTTATATGGTTTTGCATAATGGGGGATTGGTACCCATGTGTCTCCGGGGTCTTTATCCTTCATCCCCGATCTTTGACCCGGTATGAATGTTGCGGTCATTGTTTTGATCGTCAGCGTCATCAATAGCAATTAGCTTCTATTCAAGGTTGTGTGTATTTTTTAAAAAAAGGAAAAAAAAATACTAGCCTTATCTGAAGTTAGGTTGGTATTTATTCTAGCTTTTACCATGTCGTACTAAATAAGCCACCGTAAATATTGTACAATATTTAACATTTACGTTGTACACCCTTAAATTAATGATAGACAATAACAAGTGATAGACTGTACATCGGTGGGTCCATGGCTTAATAGCTGTGGGTCTTGTAATACGCTCGTTGTACCTATATAGGTATTGGAGTGGGGGAAGGTGGGGAGGTGGGACGATGGTGGATGTGTGGCTGGGGAACTTCTCTTTTTTGAAGCCGATGATCGAGTTCTTGCACATGTGATTATTTCGTATGGTGTGATGGATGAGCGGTTCTAGCTTCTTTTAATTGGCTTTTTTCTAGTCGCTCTTTCTGGTTGTTGCTTTGCGATTGCAAAATACTCCGTTGGTGTACTATATATCCCTTGCATGGTCATCGAGGAAGTCATATGAGATGTAAAACGTGATGCACTATCGTGATCACTCTATAGTCTGTACAGCTCGGCAACGTTAGAGCAAATCAATCATAACAAACATATACCGAAATACCCCTAGTACTAACATCGTATCATCTTTTCTCAAACTGCTAACCTTTCCTATGTGACTTCAAAAGTATCACCCCATACCCCATATCATGCAAGTGCGTAGTCGACTCCTGCAGATTCCGATCTGATGACACGGGCGTTTATATGACCCCACATATAAACACATTCCAGCCGGCTCTGGACAACTATGAAACCATGCGGCCTCAGGTGAGGCCGATATGAAGAGAAAGATCAAAGTCCCCTTTCGGAGAGTGTGGCCCCATTTTGCTCGCCAGTAGTAGGTTCCATAGTCTTGCACTAAGCATCACACAGTTCGGTGTGGTCTTGGGTATCTTCCAATGTCACTACAACTCTGAGTCTGCAACTCCTCTCTCGGGCTTGGACCTGAGCATCTACCCATTCAAACAACTGTTTTGACCCTTATCGCGTTTGTTATCGCGTTTGTTGTCACGTTTGTCGCCATGCATCTGGTGTCGACATCAAGCTACCTCAACTTCTAGGCTCTTCCCCGCCATTTGACTAATACTGTTCTTGTAGTGCCTATCAAATACCAACTTGACGTCCTCATGCCCTGTCGCTGCCTGGTGATCTGCGGACATTTCAGAGCTCTTGCTGCTCTTTCAGTCGATTCTCGACCCTGATACACCATTCTCAACATTAACCAAAATAATTATTGACATACGGCCTCATCGTATCCTCCATCTTTTCCCTTTTCGGGGCATCGGTTCTTTCCTCTACCTACTTCAACTTGAACCACACAATCTCATTCTAGTGGCTTGAGGTATCTATTCCTCTATATTTTTCGAGACCCTAAAATGTCTACGGGATACAGAGATTGCAGATGCCTAGTGGAGGGATACGATCAATGTCTCTGCAAATTTTGCAATCGATGCGGCGGTCTGGGTCATACGGTCCTTTACTGCAAAAGGAAATCTCATGGGGGACGAAGTGGAGGGTACATGAGTTTCTCACGCCCTACAAAATCAACGCCCATGAATGATCTTGATCAAATTGATAATCATCGTGAAGTGTGTACCCTATCATTCTAATACTTTTCTTCATCGTTGTGCTGACTGAAGAGCCGCCGTCTCATGATTCACCCAAACCTCCGATGGCCATAATTCAAGCGTCATATGTATCGAAAAATGACCGCCTCTCACAGAGATCAGCAACAGATGAATTTCCAACTGCCAAACGACGAAACTGGAGTGAGGTGGCCGGCAGTGGGATTGAGACCCCGAATCTAGGACCCGTCGATCGGACCTCCATTCTGGAGCACCTTATTTCAAATGTGCGCCTCGAAATGAGCGAAAGATATTCCTCGGTGCTCGAGGAGTACAACATTGCTAAAATACTCGAAGACAGCTTGAGTCCAGCTGTAAAGGACATTTGTGAACAAGGAAAATTTGATCTGACCAGGTATTTTTGACCTTGACAATTTAGAGACAAGTTGCTAATGATCTCTCCTAGTCTCTTGGAAATTGGATAGGACCCAGAAACGAAAAAAGAAGCCGGAATCTACCTTCACATTCTATGGAGAGAAGATGAAACGACGAAACGATTTTGGCTTTACGTCGGACAAGCATGTGTGCTGTGTCTGAGAATCGAGAAACACAAAGATCCCCGGCACCGTTCGAAGAATATGGGACTGCACTACTCGGTGTGGGGCTCTGCCGTTGATATGAAATCAGCCTTTGTCACTCTGGCCATCCTCGATCCCCCATCTTCCACTCAGACGCAGCTAGTTCTCAACCTAGCAGAGATGTGGATGTGCCTAGTATTCCAAACACTGACTTCCCTTCATCTAGGCTCCTGGTTGCCAAAGAACACAAACGCTATGTGGTCGGGTAACCATCTCAATGTTGCATTGCCATTATGGTAAGGCTTCACAGATACCCGAGAGAACAAAGCTATTGCTGACGCAATTGGCGGTAGATCAACCTTTCAGCAATACCTCGCATCTAAGGATTTAGTTATTCGGGCATGGGCGGAACAAACTAGGGATGCATTCAACGACATACGAAACTCGTCTGATCCGGGGATCAGAAATTACTGGTGGGATCTTCACAAAGATCGTATCCTTAAGGCACAGGACACCTGGGGTAAAAAGAAAGCCAGCATGGCTCAAGAATACCTCAAAGGGGCCAAGGCTCTTGTTGTATTGCACTCCGGAAACCATGGAAATCATCAAACTGAAGTCAGAGCCGGTAGTTTCAGGTTCACTGTTTCACAAACGCTTGGACTTGATATCCGTAACGGCAACGAAATCATTCTCCAGTATCATCTAACCTCGACCCCACACCCACACGCTTATGCCCTTTCTGCTTTAAAAACAGATCCTGCTACCCGCTTGGGGGTTTCTATCCGCGGTCAAGATAGCCACGGGGATTTTCATTGCTGGCTAAAAGCGACTGGAGAGTGCAATTTACGAAAAATGAACACACTCGTGGACATTCTGGAAGGCTATTCTACCCTGGAAAGCCAGGGGTTCAAGAGACGTTGGTTTGTTACTAGGTCTTTGAATAGACCGAATAGTGATCCCCCGGGGAGAAATAGGTACACTTGATGTGATACCGACTAGAAGTTCCAGAGTCCAGAATAGTTGCGCAAAAGCCACGAATTTGATTGGGTTCAATTTCGGTTTTTCAGTACAAAAGGAGTGTCGCACATCCTTTATATCGCCCTTGTAGCGCTAATATTCCATCTCGAGGGGATTAAATCACAGTGCAGAGGGCCTGGCATACAATGACTTGGGCGTGGTAACTAAGCGATTTTAATGATGAGTATGTTAAGTTAGCGGTGTAAAGGGGGCTGTGAGACTTGCAATTTAGGGGAGTCTATTGAATTCCCCCAAAAATTATGGGCTTCACGATGATGCTGATAACGAAGTAAAAAAAAAAAAAAAAAAAAGATAGACATAGCATGTCCTGGTTTCGATCCAGGGTCCTATTGTAATTGTTAGTTTGATGTTTTTGGTTGAATTTGGTTGCGGTGAAACGTACCTCCGGGTTATGAGCCCGGCGCTCTTCCCCTGAGCTAACATGCTGATTGGTGGAAAATGCTTTAGTCTAGTGATATATAACTTGCTTTAAAAGAATACATTTTAAGTGATACTATATATAGTAAATAATATGAAGCCATAAGATAACTAGCTACAAATTTACTAGTTAGTAAACGTGTTAAGATCATTTTCTACGATTTTAGATCGCGAACTCCACTTCCATAAATGGCTGACTAAGTTGTGGTTTTACCTGGGCACTGCCGCTTAATTAGACTAGGATGACTCATTTAACTTTTCGCTTTTATATTTAGCTAAACAATTATTATTATTACTACATAAGTGGCAATTTGAAAGGCTCAATCTGGAAACATACTTAGATGTATAGAGTTATAGATTCCAGAATTGTCCAGAAACATAACCCATCAGCATGTTAGCTCAGGGGAAGAGCGCCGGGCTCATAACCCGGAGGTACGTTTCACCGCAACCAAATTCAACCAAAAACATCAAACTAACAATTACAATAGGACCCTGGATCGAAACCAGGACATGCTATGTCTATCTTTTTTTTTTTTTTTGCTATTCTCGGACATGGTACTTGAATACACCTGCCCATGAACATACTCTGCTACATTTGTGGTATCGTATATTCCATATTGTAACTATACTCTATGGCACTTAAGTCGTTGGTGTTCCTACTTGTTGGTTTATTTGTTTTATCCCCCTTATTACTTTAGTCCACGAGTGATTACTTACCTTTTACATACAGTTGTATTGAATATATATATACCCGCTACGTATGATCTAGGGGCATTTAGGTATAATGTTAGTGTTTGATGGTGAGTCACGTCCGTACGTCAGATATTTCAATATCTGCACAGCGAAGAACATGGCGATATCCTGTTAAATCACTGACATGAACACTTCCAATATTTTCAAGTCTGATAATAGCCCTAACTTCAATATTAATTATAACTCACATGTACTCTATTTAATTGGATACTACCGTTTTTACCAAGAATACACAGACTCCCCTCGATCTAATACCTCGCCATAGTTAGCAACGAGCCACACAAACCCTGCTCCGTTCTCATGCTGTGGTGCAACTGGATACTGCCTCAGGCCACCAACTATATAGCTCTACCAACAACACCTAGACACAGTTGAAGTACTTGATCCATGTGCTTGGCTACTACCAGTACCTACAGTATCACACCCTGGGCCTCATACCCCTGATTCGATTGCTCAAAAACAAGACTGTGCAAATCTAAAACCCCGACTGGTCACCGATCATAATGGAGAGGGGAAGATCTCCAAAGTGGGGGCGGAAATCCCCCAATAGCCGGAGTCTCCTATCTGGCATTTATATCCACCAAAGAAACATAAAACTGCTAAAAACTTGTTCATATTTTCAGCATAAATAAAACCCCTTACCTTCATGGGCCCGGGTATTTTTAAGCAAGCAAAATAGCCAACGCCGAGTGGAAAAAGAAAAGAAGAAAAAAAGAGGGTCATTCGGCCAACCTGAAACCAACCTCCAACCAACATCACCCCCAACCCAAAACAAACCACCTATACAGAAAAAAAAAAATGGGCCAAAAGGCCTCTGTCCCACAACCGGGCGCCCAAATCCAAGTCATCGGCGCCGGATTACCACGCACAGGAACCTCATCATTCAGCCAAGCGTTAGAAACCCTCCTGCACGGACCGGTGTACCACTGCGGCACGCAAATATCGAGAGGTCCACCAACAGAGATAAAAAGCTGGATGCCAATTCTACAAAACTGGCTCAAAAAGGACGACAGCACAAGTCGGGAAAAGATGCTCACACTCCTGCGCCGCCGATTGGCCGGCTACGTTGCCATCACCGACTCCCCAGGCTCCGAGCTCATCCCGGAACTCATGGAGCTGTTCCCGGACGCCAAGGTCATCTGTACAACTCGTGACCCTATCTCATGGGAGAAGAGTATGCTCTATGTGCAGAGTTTGACGGGTGTTTGGTTTGCGCGTGCTGTCCTCCTCCCGCTGGACGGGATGAGGCATTTTATCCCGTATGGATATTTGCTTGCAGCTCTCTGGGAGGGGCTTTATGGTGGTGTTGCGGGTCAGCATGGGAGGGAGACTTATGCAAGTCATATTGCTTGGTTGAAGGAGGTTGTACCTGAGGATAGGTTGGTTTTCTTTGATGTCAAGGATGGGTGGGGGCCGTTGTGTGAGGCTCTGGGTGTGGAGGTTCCGGTTGGTGTGCCATTCCCGCGAATCAATGATTCAGAGGCCATTGAGAGGTCTGTAAATCATCATTTACGGAGGGGCCTTACACACTGGGCTTGCATTTTTGGTGTGATTGGTGTCGGGGTGGCGGCTTTTCGCGTGTGGAGGTGAGACGGGAGTGAGATGCACTGTATAGTGTCAGTGGAAGATGAGAGGTGATTATCTGGTTGCGGAGATTGGTATTGTGAATTTGGAGGGGTTTCGGAAACCTTTTGGTGTCGTTGAACTTCAACACTCCAGCGACTTGCATGCCTTGGACGACGTTTGTTTATATCAGGGTGGAGCATCAGTTAAAGACTCATTACGAACAAGCCAGATAGATTGATTTATATACAGTCACTTACATAGCCATTTACACACGAGATTTATGTCATCTATTTCCTTTGGAATATCTTATAGAAGATATGAAACCGAAATACATTGTCCAAATATTATACTTACATGTAAGATTCTATGCACAGCCGCAAACCTTGAAATTCATAAGCGTAAATCCGAAATCATTGATGAGCCCGCTCGAGTGACGGCAGACTCTCGCTTCCATAATCATTTCGTTCGAAGGTAGTTTCGATCTCCGTGTGTGCGAAGATCTTGCCTTGAGGAATAATGCGCTCCTCGCTGGAGTTGCTGGCCGTGCCAATATTGGTACCCATGGGAATATCCTCCTTGCCGTTGACTGTGATCATAGTGAGGCTGTTGGGATCCCTGACCTTGGCGAATCCAGATGGATACCGCGGGGAAGTGTTGTTGTTATTGTTGTTGCTTGACCAAGGGCCATATTTCTTCCCACTGCTGTACTCGCCGATGAAACGTGGCAGGAAGCGGGAGGCGATTGCCTTGAATGATGGGATTGAGGCAGCAAAGATGCCGACGTTGGTTTCGATTACTGTCCAGTACATGGCACCGCTGATGGCGTACGTGGAGTCCTTCGAGCTAAGCATAGTAGGGATGTAAGTGATTCGGATGATCGAGGAGATGCAAGCGCTGTAGAGGGTAATCCATTAGAAAGCGTCTAGGTGGAAGTACTGGGTTACACTCACAAAAGACCAAGACAGAGGATAAAGGCCAGGACAAGCTTCTGCTTCCGAGGCATCTGGAGATGGAGAATGACCTTGATGGGCAAGGTATAAGTTAAGAGATCGGTGACAATGTTCAGGGCGGCGTTGCACAGATAGAAAAGGTTGATGTCGACGCATTTTCCGGGTCCAGTGCCAGTCCAGGCCATGCTAATGGGTTGACATTGGAATGCAGCCACGAGAACGAATGAGGTGGCTTGGGCAATAATAACTCCCATCATAACCCAGGATAGACGAGTGAGGTAGCGATCTCCGAGGCGAGTATAGAACCATAGCACCGAAGTTTTGATGAATCCAAGTGTTGCAAGATAGAACATTGAGCTCAGCCAGACGGCCTGGGGAGAGGTTAGAAGTTTAATACTGTATAAGGTCGGGATCTGTATCCTTACAAAAGCATAATTGACCATGCCGGTCTGGTCAACATATTCAATATGTTGCCCAAGTCCATGTTTGACCGCTAAATAATATTAGCCTTCTGCAGATAGCCGTAGGAAGCAAAAAGTGGAACATACCGACAAGTGTGACAGCAATAAATGACCAAGACAGTGCCTGTTTCCATTAGTTATAACCATTGTTTGATTATGGAGACCATTTTGCCTACACAAGCGCCAACAATAAGGTCTGAAGATGTCAGTATAGTGTTGGTAAAATAGATCAAGCATAATCCACTTACAGTCATCAACGCCCATTTGACCCAAAACATAAATGCGCGCAAAGAGACGAAGGACCAAAACAACGAAGGTCAAGGCGGCAAATGCCACACAGATGCCCACGACTACAGGGCCTTGAGAACCATTGGTAACAGCCATGACGAGAAATATGGAGGGATCAAATAGAAATAAAAAGAGAGGAAAGACCGTAAATTGACATAAAAGAAGGAATTAGTTTAAATGAATGGCATAGGGGGTCGTTCCACATGTCCATACCATGGAGAATGGAGGATCAATATCACTTAAGTATCATTGAAAAACATCAAGAAGAATGGCCTTGGTACCCCGGCCTACAATTTATAAGGATATTTTATCTCAGATGCCCCTGGGACTAGGGAATAAAATGACTGCGCACACCAGATATGCGCATCGTGCATGGATCTAGTAGTCCCTGAGATCCACTGTATACCATCAAAAAGACCGTTGACAAAGAAAAAAAGAAAACATGGTCGGGATTTGCACGGCCTTCGTTTTTACGGCAACACGAGATAGACGAGACTATGTCTACCACTCGAGACCTTTGGTGATCCATGCATGCTAAAATAAGCCCACCGTTTATGTAGAGGGCTCCAGTTTCACCTTATCCAGAGAAAACTACGAAGAGCCTGGGGCGGGCCCTATGATTTGCCACTCAAACACCGAAATGTCATCTCCGATTGTCGAGGTGCAACCGTTGGATATATCATTCTTTGACAAACAAGTCCCAATCCCTGTTCATTGGGACCCTGTTCCGGGAACAAGGAGCCATTGTGTTTTAGCACTAAAGATATCCACCTGAAGATCGGGATGGGATTGGCTCGAGTAGGGGGGCCTAGTCGTTGGTGGACACATTCGACGTCTCGAGGACGATCATTATGAATTTATAACCATTGGAAAATGCATTGCCAAGTTGAACTATTACTTATAAACAACAACAAAGTAAGAAAAACAAGAAAGATGATTCGAGAGAGCGAAAGTGAAAAAGAGTCCGTGGGTCTCGGAAGATTCCCAGTGGAGAGATCTAATTTATTTTTATTATCATGCTCATCAAGATGCCCGATGGTGATCCTAATATTTTAATATGATCTAGGTTGGATACGTTATACGGAGTAAATCGATAACTCTAATCCAACGGACAAAATAAAATTGAATCGAAGTGACTAGAAAACCCACGGAACTACTTGAGAAATTTATGATGAATCCTGCTAAATATTAGATTATACTCTCGAGAGGGGAGCTGAACGATCTGCACGTTTCAAAACCTCAAAAGCTTCTGTCAATGCGCTCACTTACGAAGTATATATGGAGTACGGAGTAATGGACGGTGCCTTGCCCGTGATGCACAGACTGGAGGGCATTCGCCATGCAGCCCACCGATCTCCATGACTCCATTTGCCTCCCGAGCCGTCCTAGAGAGTGGGCCACCTATTGCGACGCCTTGGTAAGCGAGATTGGCTACACTGCAGATGATTTGGAAGTCTGTGCATATATGTGATATGAGGGGAGTAAAATTCTGCACTGCATATTTGTGAGAATGCACAAAGTACGAGGGAATGGAACTTTGATACTCCGTACGCCGTGCAAATATTACATATCACGCCCCCTTTCCGCAAAGAATCTTCGAGACTAGAAGTATGCTATTGCTTCCAAACCATTAAGGATTGAAAAGTATAATATACAACACGTTGTTGAATATTAGTAGCAGGTGATCACTGGGGCTTGGTCTGTCTCATAAAAAAAACCTGTTTTTCTTCTTTTTATCTTCTTTTTGGGGGGAAAACTAGTGGAGAATCAAAAGTCGGAGGCTAACTTGTTTCAAGGCTCTCATCGGAGTCCTAACGCTTCACGGCTTATGCCAAGCGCCTAACACACCTGTGTTGGTGCGTCCCAACGATAATTCACACCGGAGATTAGGTACCTTTTGTATGGACACACCGTACAAAAGGTACAAAGGCACATAATCCATACCATTCATTTCCCTCAATCTTCGAGCTAGCCAAAAATTATTAGAATATTAATATATAATATAAGTAAAACCACTCCGTAGATTGTTCTAAACTAAGGTTACTTCTAAATAATTAATATAAAAGTGTGAGAAGCACATCAAAGAACACCATACGGAGTACTATAAAGATTGTATGTAGAAGTTAGGTGTTCTATTATTTTGAGTGTACTTGATATTTCTTATTAAACCTAATACCTATTAGCTACCTAGGTAACTAAAGTCCTTTCACCTTTCGCAAACAGAATAACATGTACTCCGTACAAGGCTGAGAAAAAAATAAATGTTGGGGTTTGGGCTCTTTGTATCTTTAATATGAGAATATCATATAAAAGATACTTATTAGTCAAAAGTTCTTCATCCACTAGAAACCCTCGGAAGTCATTTTGCACAATTGCGACGTCGTTTTCACCACCGAACTATTCCAGGGGTTCTACCTGCAACACCAACAAGGGGAAGAATATCTAAACAAAACACTTTCAAAAATAGGCCAGGTTCAAAAAGACCTCTCAAGCCGCATAAGTGACCCTTCTTGTATTGGATATCCTGATTCCTTTCCCACATCGATTTCAAGGGAACGCACTCGGCATATGCATGCGGGTTCATAACACTCTCGCACGAGGGCTGGGCCGTCATCACCTGCAGCTTCACATACAGAGACCAGTGAGAAGCACTGGTTATTCCATAGTGGAGAACGCCAGCCTCCCGCTCCACAGTCTTAGTGCGAGGTATGTACGGAGTACTTCGTTGTGCGTCTGGCCCTGCGCAAATGAGGCCTGAGAACCCCAGAGGCTTTGTCTCGCACTCGGCAAGGAACTCACAAGCATCTGATATCCTGTGCTGACCACTGTCCCAAAATATTCGTGGGCAACGGGCGCCTTTTCCTGACGGAGCGTGCCGAACCCGCACGGCCCCCTTTGACAGCTGGCAACGTCTTTCTCCATATTCAGAAAATCGTTACTACTTTAGGCAGCTATGCTACGATGGAGTCGGTATTTGATAGGGATATGCGTAGCGGTGGACCAACCACAAGGCTGCGATGCTGAATGAGCAAGCGGAGTCGCAATGCCTCTGCAATTCACCAATGCGCTTAGCGCAAGGACTAGCACAAAGGGGGAAGGCCAGATGCAGTGAGATGCCACATGCTGAGAATATCTTCAACCGTTTAGACCTAGCTTGGTCTAGGCTTGCACAATCCTCAGGGAAACACTGCGTGCTCGCGGGTGCTGTTCGCTCGACATAGCCCCTTGGCCAATGCTCTTTGGCCAATGGCCTTCTGGCTCTTACTACAATGGATATCGTGTTTAATGCGAACGGTAATTTGTGGTTCTTTAGTTCTTGAGGGGCTATTTCCCCCTCTCAGTCAAATAGACGCGTTTTCACCTTCCATGTACCAGCATCTCTAAATCTGCCATGGGTCTTGCGGAAAATGTCCTGTCACTGGTGACGGTGACCAATGTCATCTTGGGTCTTGTGGCCTATGTCGCGCTCAAGTTTAGCTGGCAAATTATCTATTATCGCTTCTTCAGTCCGCTTGCAAAGTTCCCCGGCCCCTTCTGGGGCTCTGTAACTCGTCTCTGGATCGCATGGCATAATCTACAGGAGACCGAGGTACCAACTGTTTATGCGCTTGCTCAGAAATATGGTTGGTCTTGACCCTATCTCCAACAGGGATATGATTTCTAACAAGTAAATTCCCTCAGGCCCTGTTGTTCGCATTACCCCAACATTGTTGTTGGTCAGCGATCATGAAAAGCTTCCGGAAGTCTACCACCGCAATGCAGACAAGACCGGACACTATATCACTGGAAGTTTTGGCGAGACCGAGTCTCTGTTCAACATGAGGTCCCACAAGACCCATGCCGTGTTCAGAAAACATGTTGCCGGACCGGTACGACGATGTACGAGTTCATTTGCAGATATCAAAAACTGACCCCCAACGCAGTACAGCTTCAGCAACATCAAAAAAATGGAGCCACTACTTGATGCGCGCATCAATGCGTGGACCACTAAACTAAATGAAAAGTTCGCAAAGAGCGGCGAAGCCTTTGACTTCGCCTGGTGGGCAGTGTAAGCAGCACACAAGCCGAATGAAACAAACCCCCCAACTAACAATACAAACAGCTACATGGCCTACGACATCATCAGCGAAATCGGCTTCGGCGAGCCCTTCGGTTTCATCGAAAAAGGCGAAGATATCGGCGGCCTAATCCAAGGCTTCCACGACGGCCTCCCAGCCTTCGGCCTCCTAGCCCGCCTACACCCCTTCACCTCATGGATAAAAACTACCTTCCTGAAAAAGTACCTCGTCGCCAAGCCAGAAGATAACTCCGGAATTGGCGTGCTAATGCGCTTCCGCGACCGCCTCATCGATCAACGCATTAAAGACATCCAAGACGGCAGGAAATCAGATCGCACAGACCTGCTCCAGACATTCCTCGACGCTCTTACCGAAGACGGCAAACCCCTTGATCTGGAGTACATCCGCGCGGAAGTCCTGCTCGTCCTCCTCGCTGGCGCTGACACAACAGGCACCGCCTTCCAGGCCATGGTGCAGTTCCTCCTAACCCACCCGGGGGCGTACAAGCGTATGATGGAAGAAATTGATAACGCTGTCCGTAAGGGCCTTATCTCAGATATGCCTCAGTACGATGAGGTGCTAGAGCACCTGCCTTACTATGTTGGCTGTGTGAAGGAGACTATGCGTCTGTGTCCGTCTGCGCCGAATATCTTCCCCCCGCTATGTCCCTGAGCCGGGACTTGATCTGTATGGTCGTTTTGCGCCGGCGGGTACGGAGATTACCTGTAACCCGTACCTTGTGCATCGGGATCCGAAGCTTTATGGGTATGATGCCGAGGAGTTTAAGCCTGAGAGGTGGCTGGATGTTGAGAGGGCGAAGTTGTATAACAAGTATAACTTTTCGTTTGGGTATGGGTCGCGTGTTTGTTTGGGGAGGGATATTGCTATGATGGAGTTGTTTAAGGGCCCTTTGCAGGTGAGTTCTTTTCCGACTTTCCTACAATTTATTGAAGTGGCTGCTAATGTGACGTTTAGTTCTTCCGTCAGTACAGACCACAGACTGTACAGGGTAAACCTGGGGCTAAGTTCATGGTCAAAGGTGGGATTGGCTACTGGAGAGACGTGTGGTTGACTATTTCTCCGCGGGCAGAGGTGAAGGCTGAGTGACAGCTTGATGCGCTTTGGAGGGAATGATTATTGTCGAACTCGATCTACAGATAATCCCGGTAGAAGACGCATTCTAAATTGCATAGGGTTTATCTCAAAAATCTTCGTTTCTCAGTTTTCTCCCTCTATTACATGTAGCCCCCTCAGCAAAATGAAGTCACTATGTTTCCTGCTAACTTAGAAATAAGGCAAGGACGATACGTGAGGTGGAATACAATAGCATTGACCGAAAGGGAGCTATATGTAAATGAGAACTATAGTATGAACACAACAAACAAGATGCAAGCCAGGACAAGTTTTGTTGAATGCTTTTGATAACCAGCTGACCAGCTGGTAGAACATGGAACATGGTATGGTGTCAAATATGGAAAATGAAGATAAAAAAACCCGGGAAATTTATGAGACATTCATGATCATTCAGCAGTACCCATGACGGCGTCCTAAACACGAAGACAATAAATGTTAGCAATGGTGCAATAAAGAGAGAATATAATCTAGGTGGTTGCTTACTCTTGCCTCGTGGTACAAAGGAGTAATACCAGTCCAGTGAACGAACTGGTGCACACCCTGCCCAACAAGGACCTCTAGTCCAGGAATGGTGGTCCAACCCGCATCAGATGCAAGCTGCATCAAGGCGGTAACGGTAGGCTTGTAGGCCATCTCAAGAAGAACACGGTGCTTGCTAGCGTCGGAAGACTTGCCGATGAGAGTACCGTCGATCTCCTGAGCGCGCTCGAACATGTGGCAGAGCGTCTCGCGCATCACAGGGTCAATGGGTCGGTCAGCGGGGATCGTGCCGATAGCGACCTGGGGAACGGTATCAAGCTGGGTCCGGCTGTCTACGATGCGGATATTGTAGTTGGTCGGGAAGGTCGAGACCATGCCCTCGAGCTTGCTGGCAGTGCGGCCGACAACATAGATTGGAGAGAAGCCCATGTTGTGGAGGGCGAAAATGGCAGCACGGGCAGTACCGCCGCCGCCGATGACCACGGCACTCTCGTTGCCGGTGGAGCCGTAAACGCCTGCGTTGCGCATGCATCGGACCATGCCTTGCCAGTCGGTGTTGTAGCCAACCAGACGAGGAGGCTTGTCACCGTTGGGGACGGGCACGACAGTGTTGACGGCACCGATGATTTCAGCCTCCTGGGCGACTTCGTCGAGCAGGGGCATGATATCCAACTTGAGGGGGATTGTCACTGAAGCACCGCCGAAGTCGGGGGCACGGATAAAGTCCTTGACATCTTCGATGTTGGTAGTCTCCAGGCGAGAGTACTCGTGGGGTAGACCCATTTTGCCGAAGAGGGTGTTGTGGAGAGCGGGGGACCGCGAGCCGGAGACAGGAGAACCGAAAATAGCGAACTTCTTGGCCTTGATCTCACCCATCAGGGAGAGACCACGGCGAATCTCAGCAGCGGATAGTTGACCAGGTGCCGCCTTGAAAGGAAGGCTGGGGTGAGACACCGGGGTCATGAAACCATTTAGGATACGGCTAAGTTGACCACTGTCGCCCATGTTGATCGCAATCAGCGGCACATCGTGGGCTTCTTCAGCCCATGTCTTGAACTTCCGAAGGGCATTGTTATCATCAAGGGTATTGGCAACACCGACGAGCTTGATCACGTCGCCGTATTCCAGAGCACGGTTGTAGGATTGCATCCAGGACATGTTGGCCCACGACAGAGTGCCCTTAGGATCATGGTGCGAGGCGATGATCTTAGAGTAACCCTTCATCTCAGTAACGGCACGGAGCATTGCATCGGGGAACGCAATCTCAAGATCCACGAATTCGCACCCAGAGCGGAACGCTAGTCGGTACAGCTGCATTGCCGCATCATGGGCATCATCGGGGAAACGGCCACCTTGGCTCTTGGTGCGGATAGTGAAGATGATCGGTAGGGTGGTACGACCGCGAAGGATAGACATTTGTTCGTTGACGTAGTCTACCGAGGGAATGTCGCCCTCAACTGAAGGGTCCTTCAACAGATCGACCCGCAGTTCGACAGCATCAGACCCGACACAAGCCTCGGTGATAATATCGCCCGACGGTTGGAGATCAGGCAGAGTCAAAGAGACGAAGAAGCTGTGCTTCTTCTTCTTAATGAGACTAAGGTTGTCTACTTGACCAGTAACTACCCGTATGAAGCGGGTAAAGTCCTCTGAGGCAAGGGCTAGCTCCGTTGAGGTAGAGTGCTGGCTATAGTACTGGATGTTGCTGCACTCTTGGAACCAAGGCTTACGTCGCAGCCACACGCCCATCATATCCTCCACGTAGGCAGGGCGGGTCTTATCAATCTGGAGGAAGTCCATGACCAGCTTGATGTCACGCATGATAAGGAGCACGTTGCCCTTGCTCTTGTGGTAGTCAGTAAGCAGTTTTCGTGCCTCTGGCATCTCGACAACACCTCCGCCGCAGGCGAAGACATGGCCAGTAGGATGATCCTTGAGAACGCGCTTTAGGACAGCGAGTTCTGCGTCTCTGAATCCCTCCCAGCCGCGTGTCTTAATTATATCGGGGATAGTTATACCCTCGGAAGTCTCAAGCTCTGTATCAAGATCGACGAAACGACGACCGAGGACCTTAGCAACCCAGTTGCCAGTGGTGGTCTTTCCAGCGCCACGCATACCGATGATGAACACAGAGGCGCTGCTCCGCTCCACATCGCTCGAGGCAGAATGCTCATCTTCCTTCAGCTCTTTGCCATTGAGATTCACGCTGAACATTTGCTTCAAGGCATCCCACCAGCCAGGCCAGGTCTTGCCAACACATTCTTTCTCCAGAATAAGGGTAGACTGGGGAGCGATGAGAGACAGCACGCTGAAACTGAACGCGACCCGGTGGTCATCGTAACAGAAAACACCACCGGCGGGCTGGCGAAGGGTAGAACTCTCAATTCCGTCGATCTCAAGCCCATCGTCATGCTCACGACACACCACCCCGAATTTAGCCAATTCGTCTTTCATGGCCTTGATACGATTGCATTCCTTGACACGTTGGTTTGCGATACCGTAGATACGAGTTGTGTGGTTTGAGCCCTTGCCCCGGGCAACGGCCGCGAGAACAGAGGCAGTGAGGAAGGCATCCGTCATAGGTTCCATATCCACATTAGGTAGTGGTCGCAAAACACCGTCAGCAGGTCCGGTAACAGTGGTTGAGGTATCAGTCTGCACAACGGAGCACCCCATAGGCCGTAGAACATCCACTGCGAAACGAGCGTCACCCTGAAGGGACTTGGATCCAATGTTGGGGACGGTGCAGGTGGTACCAGTGACGGCAGCAATGGCCAAAGGATAGGTTGCAGAGCTTGCGTCGCTCTCCACAACATACTCGGCAGGGTTCACGTAGTGAGCCTGAGGAATGTGGTAGGTGTGCTCCTCGGTGGTAGACTTCTTCACGTCGATGCCGAAAGATCTCATCATCGCAGTCGTCATGTCGATATAAGGCTGTGAGATGGGCTTGCCACCGACCAGCTTCAACGTGACTGGCTCCTTGGCGTACGGAGCGCACATAAGCAGAGAAGAGACGTACTGAGAGGAAACTTTAGCGGCCAGGTTGATCTTTCCTCCAGCGAAGCCTCCAGAAGCGGCAATCTTGAGAGGAAGACATCCCTTGCTTTCCATGTACTCAACACCAGCACCGTTAACAGTAAGAGCGTCAACAAGATCACCAATAGGCCTTTGCTTCATGCGGTTGTTACCGGTCAAGACACTCGAGTCGACACTGCTGGGAGTAGCAAGTGTAGCCACGGTGGTGAGGAATCGTGAGGCAGTACCGGCATTACCCAAGTACAAGGGCGAAGGGCTTGCGATAATCTTTCCGCCTTTGCCGTTCACAACAAGAACCTCACCTTCCTCCTCCCAAGAGAAAGTTGCCGCGCCGAGTCGCTCTAGGGCATTCAACATGACCTCAGTGTCGTCGGAGTGCAAGAGATTCTTGATGCGGCAGGTTCCAGAACCAAGAGCAGCAAGCACAAGGGCACGGTTGGAGATACTCTTTGATCCGGGAGGTGCGCAAGTGACATTGAGCGACTTTGGCACACCGGGGTGAACCTCAACGCTGGGAGCAAGGACAACACCAATATCCTCATTAGAGACGACACTGGCTTTTGGCTCGTGAGTGCGGCCAATCGCCGACAAGAGCACAACCTTCTTTTTCGGCCCATCGTTTTTCTTGTCCAAAGCCATGTTAAACAGCAATTGGTCTACAGAGCAGTGCTTACCAGCAGTCAACTTGCGAACCCGTGGATCTTTCACGGAAGTGGGCAAGCCGTAGGCCGAGATGCACTTTACCACACGAGCGACGGCGACACCCTTCAGGGTGCCCAAATGCCTCGCAAGCTCTGCCTCCTTCACCATGCCGATTGCGACACATTCGCCGTGAAGGATCTGAGGGGTAAGGATCGCCTCAATGGCGTGTCCAATAGAATGACCCCAATTGAGCAGGTTGCGAAGGCCACCCTCACGCTCATCAGCGGAGACGACAAAGGCCTTGTGACGTGCCGATGCCAAGATTCTAGCCTTCAGGATATCCCGGATGCCGTCGAAGCGACCTTGGCCAGCCTTCGGCTCGCTACGCACAGCAGCCAAAATTAATTCTGCGTTATCTTCCAAGGCAGTAAATTCCTCTTCACTTGATATGGCAGCAGTCTTAATGACCTCGGCCATGCCATTGATGAACTCTCGCACGGGGAGAGTCTCAAGGAACTCGAGATCAATGTAGATTCTCGATGGCTGCCAGATGGAACCAATGAGGTTTTTACCAAGCGGAGTGTCAATAGCTGTCTTTCCTCCAATTGAGGAGTCCACCATGGCAAGGAGCGTGGTTGGGACCTGCACGAAGCGCACACCTCGCATGTAGGTTGCTGCAACAAATCCAGTCAAATCCCCAATCACACCACCACCCAACGCAATGATCACTGTGTCTCTACCACATGGCGGGTTCTGGCTTAGCATCCAATCTTCGATGTCGGCTTTTGTCTGCCTTGATTTGGAGCTTTCTCCGGGGGCCGCATGGTGGATGAGGAGTCGTGGGGCTGGGGTGACGGAAGCAGCGGCGGCCTCAAAGGTCTTTTGGAAAGTGGGGGTATAAAGAGATCCGAGGTTTGTATCGGTGATGAGAACGTAGGTCGTCGAGGACAAGTCACTGATCAAGTCCTTTGCGACGAAATTGCGCCAAAGACCAAAATCAGCGACAATGCTCTCCCGGCCCAAGATGCTGATCTTGGTGGGCTCAGACATTGCGAAGGAGGATATAGATGAATACTCGGTAATGGCAAAGTTCAATGACTGCTCATTTCATTCTGTGACTTGTTAGTACACCGACTCACAGTACTTTATCTGTTCCCCCACCACAATGAATCTAGGGATACAACCTTGAGGTGCATACCGATCATTTGGAGGGAATTGAATAATTAGAGGAGTCTGACGAACCTGGACAGAGCTGAGCCAAGAGCCAATAGTGTATCAAGGGAATATAATCTCCAAGTCGAGAGTGAACAAGACAGAAAAGGAAAAAGAGTATTGTTTCCCCTCCGGTGTCGCGGGCAGTTTCTTGACCGCCCGGTGACTCAATCTGTCGATCTATACACCTGCGGACATCTATCTATAGATCATCTACGGAGTACAATTTAAATAACTATGATACAGACATGTTCTATTATGCTGCAACTTTGTTGCTAGCTTAAACGAGCTTTAATTCAGACTTTGAAATCAACATGTTATCCAAAAATTCGCCCAATTTCACATCTTAACCTCAAATTCCAACCTAGCCGACATCGCCCGTTTTGAACGCGAACCCTGCAAATAGTAGAAACTGTTTTGGGGAATCAGTCTTCGGTCAAATCAACTTCGATTACCGAGTCCAACTCGATTGTTGCGTTTGACTTGACTGCATCCAACCGATCTGGCGAATTCAATGTATCTGCCAATGCCGAATTGAGTACCGCCTGGATACGTTCATTCGATCCTGTGTTGCGAACTTTCAATGGCTGAATCCTGCTTTTGGAAACACCATTATTCCACCGGCTGATTTGCGTCTTTGGAGCAGCCTGGAAACGTTTGCCGGAGTGCTTTACTCCAGGATCAGTGTCTCGGTCAGGGCCAACCTCTTCATGGCCTGTCTCCTTAGCGCTCTGGTTTCCCATTTGAGCACAGTGGCTGGCGAGCTGCAAAAGAGCCTGATCGTTGGCCGCGTTGGATCTGACGTAACTCCGTTCAATTGTCTGGGCATATTTCTCGACCAATCTATCGATACTAGGGAACTGGATATTGGCTTCTTTGTCTTTTTCAGCTTGGTCAGACTCCACTGAGAGTCGAACCTGCCTAAGTTGCTCGCATAGATTGCCAGCAAACTGATACAACATTTCACGAGCGCCGGGGCAATCACCGAGGGCTCGTTCTTTAGGGACACCGATACTGTCGCCCCCCCGAGGTTGCCGGAAGCGCGTTCCTAGGCTCCAGCTTGTTTGCGGAGTCCGGTAGTGTTGGCGCCTCTTCAATGGGGATGACAGGTGTAGGGGGTGGAATACCAAGTCTTTCGGTACCAGGTTCGCGGTACCACAGCACAGGAGCTGCGGGTGCTACTTGACGTTGTGGGATACTCACAAACGGGCGAATTGAGCCTGCCCAACGAAGAGTGCAGAGCGCATGAAGAAAGTCATATCTGTCAAGCTCCGGGGGACTCGTGTCGAAATTGGAGTGGGGGAATATCGTCGGGGCAACACGCATGAGCTGAATTATGTACCAGTTTATAAATACGACGTCGCGGATCTCGCCAGTTCCATTCTGCACACCGATTTGTGGGGCCACAGGAGCTGCCATAGCACCCTCATATTCACGGTCGTGAGCGTGTAGCCAGAGTAGTTCAAACCCGAAGAAGCATATCCGTCTTTTCCCGATCCTGTCACTGGCCCAGTCCGACCACATGTTAATAATTCTCCCAGACTCCGTGTTAACATGGCATAATGCGAGGATCTCCCGTGTTGTTAACAAGTTCAAGGCACCAGCAATACTTGGTAATGACTTGAATAGATTTCGAGCCCATCTAAACTCATACAAAATCTCAGGTTCATAAGAGAACTGACGATATGATGCACTCATTCTAGGCATGATAGATGTATGGTGAAGCTCGACGGAAGAATTTTAAACTGTCACATTCGATGAGCATGAGTAGAAGAGTGAAAGAGAAGTCTAAGTCGACGTAAACAGGGGGTTTAAATAGGCACTATGGCTTGTTTGCTTTAGGAAAATGCGCCTAAGGATCTGAAGCTCTTCCGATCTTCCAAGGTTATGTGGTGCATACAAACTTCCCACAAGATCTCCATGGGTGCTAGCAGCCATTGAAACCAAAAAATGTAGATCACATCAATATCATGATAACTCATATACCCAATCTACTTACATAGGTACCTGCGGATACCGCGAGGTTGTACATACATATTTGTAGGTGCCACTATCAGGCACATTGGAGCGTATAGCTTCATAGGCACCACAGTGCTAGACTGCTAGGATTCGTATGTGTATGCAGTATAGCCTTAAATCGTTATTGGAAGTCTTTGTAAGTCAATATGTTATATCCATATAACATGCACGGATGAGGAACGGAATATGCTAAAATAAAATCGAGCAATCTTTTGTATTGGATGCCGGGCTCACCTGAGACCTCTACTACTCCCCTAGGTCGGTAAAAAGCCAATAGGAGCGGACATAGGAAGAAAGTAGAGAGATAAATCAGTGTTGAAATGACACACAACAGCTACCTACTCGAGCTGTGGTATTCTGTGGCATCACACCGTGAACCACCGAAGAGATGGAATCGTTGTTTGCCTGCCTATTTACAAATGAATACATGTCCATCATTCATCTCCCTCATCCTCGTCATCGTCGTCGTCCTCGGCCTCCGAGACTTCCTCTCCGAGCTCCTTGAGCCGTTTCTAAGATAATGGTTAGTCAGATCCCGGGCAGGCAGGAGCAGCTCGAGAATGTATCGAGCCATTAAACATACCTTGTCCTCCGTTCGCTTAGCCTCAAGGTCTCCAAAGACAATCAGCAGGTCTTCCAGTTCAGACTGGGCCGACTGCCGAGCCTCCTCCTTTTCTTTAGCTTCAGATTTAGCCTTGTTGAGCTGAACCTGAATGATTTTGAGGGTTTCAGCCGCACTGCGGGCGTGGGACTCGGCCTCTTTGGCCTTGTCCTCGGCTTCCTTAGCTCGTGCTTCCAGAGCAGAGGTCTGAGAAGCGGTGCCTTCTTGGGCGGTTTCAAGATCATTGCTAGACTTCTGAGCCTTGGCAAGGTCTGACTCCAGAGCTGCGACAGATTGCTTTAAAGTTGCGATCTCGGCTTCATGCTCTTTTTTGGCTGCGGCGAGATTTGACTCGAGAGTTCCGACCGTATCATTGTGGCCAGTGGATTCGGCCTCATATTGCTGCTTGGCTGTAGAGAGACTAGACTCCAAGGTTTCAACTTTTTCCTTGTAGTCGCTGACTTCCACCTCGTGATGTTGCTTGGCTTTGGCCAACCTAGATTCCAGACTCTGCAACTTTTTGGTGAGATCGGCGACTTCTCCATCGCGGGTTCCCTTGGTGGTTTCAAAGTCCTTGATTTTCTTGTTGAGTTCTGCCACCTGTCCATCATTGGCTTTCTTGGTGTTTTCTAGGTCTTGAATATTCTTTTCAAGACTGGCGACCTGTGCACCGTGGGCCTCCTTGGACTGGCTGATCGTGTCCTGCAACTCATGGATCTTCTTGTTGAGGTTATCAACTTGATCGTTGTGGGATTTCTTGGTGCTCTCCAGATCTTGAATCTTCTTTTGAAGATCAGTGACCTGTAAATCGTGGGCCTCATTGGACTGGCTGATGATAGTTTTCAACTCCTGAAGTTGCTTATTGAGATTGACAACTTCTCCTGTATGTTGTTCCTGGGCGCGAGAAAGCTCCGACTCCAAGCCACGAATGGTTTGTTGCAGACCAGCAACCTCCCGCTCATGATGCTCTCTCAACTCCCTTGCTTTGTGGCTCTTGCTCTCAGATTCTGCTGAAGTCTGCTTGAGCTGATGGTCGATGGCACGGAGCTGATCACTATGCTGCTTGAGTAATTCGTTTTTGTGATGCCTGTGTTCGTTTTCAAGCTTTGATAGTTGTTCGGATAGCTCTTGCGCATGGCTTTGTTGCAGAGATTGGTTGGTTTGTTGAAGCTTTGACAACTCAACTGCATTGTATTCCTTTGTCTTTCGGTGGTCCAACTGTTCTTGATCAAGCCTCCGTTGGATGCTAACGAGATCAGACTCTAATGTTTGAAGGGTCTGGGTGCGATCTTCAATTTCTGCACGCAATGAATCAACAAGCTCACGCGAAATTCCCTTTTCGATCCCATTGGCAACAACCGAAATTTCAAAACCGGGTTCACGGTCAATGGCACGAAGCAATCGGCTGAAGTTATCTTTCAGGAACTCGATGAATGAGCGGTCAAAAAACACCTCCGGCAGTCCACCCTCGAGCTGACCACCAGCGGTTTGGGGAAGGACCTCAAAGTCACGAACCAAGGGACATTCTCGAAGTCTTGTGATCTTGTCAATATACTGTTCCCTGCCAAGCTGTTCGATGAGTAGCTTATGAAGCGTGATGCGAGGGATTGGGGAATCTTTTGTGGAGAACTCATAAATGACACCCAACAGCACAGTGCAAAGGCCAGGCACCAATTTACTTGGGGCACGCTGGTGCTTAATTTCTTGCAACAAGGTTTGAATGCAGCTACCCTCTCCAAGCAGATCATTAACGACGTCTGGGTCTTCGAAAAGCCACCCACAGAGCAACGTCAGATAACCGACTGTGATCCTTTCGTCATCGCCGCGCTGCAGACCAGTAATCAGATTTCCAACGACAGATTGGACACTGGTGACCACTTCTTCACCGCTCTCAGCATCACCCTCAGTAACAGCCATAGCTGTTGCCTTAGCCTCTGCATCATCGAAGAGCAAATGGAACATCAGAATACAGGCCATCCACACTTGATATGGATCGGCATTTCCTCGCGCTTCTGGCGCAGTGAGCAGTACAGATAGAATATTGGGAATTCGATCCTGCCCGCTGGTATGCCCTTCAATCGCTCGCCTGAGCACATGCATGCGAATTCCGGGATGATGGGCGAAAAACGCTTTCATACATTCACAGGCAGCAAGTCGTGCGTCCAAAAGGTTGTTGGGAGCAGGTTCGAGGCTAAGCTTCAAAAATGCTTCAATGACATTGATGCGTAAAGGCTCATTCACATCACCATTGGCAGCCTTGTCGTCGCCGGTGTAGGAGCCCCACAGAACTTCGATATCACCAAACCTTTCCTGCAACGGTGAGTTGCCGCGGATCAGATCGGCACAAGTTGATAAGGCCTATATTTGTTAGGAAAACGTGCAGGCAAGGATGAGTAATAGTAACATCTCACCTTTGAGGTCACGCTAACGCTGAACCTTTGACCGAATGCAATGCTAAGAACTTGCTCTGTCACGCCATTCTGCCAGAATGCAGTCTGATTAATGGGCGTGCTCATACCACCGCGAATCAAGAACAACTGAATGATGGCCAGGAGACCCCAGACATTCTTATCTCGGTGGACCAGAGTCCACTGTGGCGCCGGCTCGTTGTCTTCTGGCTCTTGCTGACATTCATGAAGCAGCTGTGTTACTCTTTTCACACAACCGGTCTCGCGGAAAAAGGATTGGTTGGAAACATTGAACCTCAACAAGTGAGCTAACAAGGAGAGGCAATCTTCCACTACCTCGGTCCCATGAGTCAATGCTCCCTCCGCCTCGATAAGTGAGAAAAGTATTTCAAATGCATTCTCGAATGCCACCAGCTTCTGTAGCTCTTCCGAAGCGGGGGTCAGGGCAATCAACAAGACAAGAGCCTCTAGCAGAAAACAGGTTGTCAGCTCCAACCTCTCGTGTCCCACATGGACGCAAACATTCGACAAGGCATACCATTCCGTACTGGTTCCCTCGCATCTGTCAGGACACTGACTAGCTTGGAAATACCCAGCGGCGCTGTAAAAATGCATTCTTGTGTTCGTTCTGGCCGTGCACTGCAAATGTGGGAAATCAATTGGAGCGAATAAAGGCGGGAGTAAAATTCGCGGGCTTCTAAAAGGTCGAGTAGGGTGGTTATATTATCTTGTCGCTTTGAAAATGTTAGTTTATCATCTCGGGACCGAGGTCACGATGCGTACCTGAGTGAATTCATCCGCCAGCCACAGAGCTATTTCGTCCGACGCTTCAGGCTAAATCTATACATGAGCAACTCGAGTGAAACTATTCAGAGTACAGAATACCCACACTAGATTCATCAGGCGTGAAGAGCATCAAAAGGGTCTCGAGGACCACTTTGATAGTGTCCACATCCTCACTGTCATTGCGTAAACTGGTGATCAATGACCGTAGGCCACCGGAAGCGACTGATGCAGGGTAGAGTTTTGCAAAGCTTCTTAATCCTTGGATTGCTGCCCGGCGATCTTCCAACAATGTAGCACTCTGCAGTCTACTGCTTAATACGTCGATTGTGTCCGTAGCCGTTTGTTTGGCCGGAGCTTGCGACTCGAGGATTCGGAACATGGTAGTTGATTCGCAATTTCATGGTCACTGCCGGCCGAGGGCGTAGAAATTGGTAGTCATCTATGAGAGAGCAAAAAGTGAAAAAGTGAAGAGGTTGGTTAGTTCGCTGATTGCAGTAGAAAGCTGTCCTATTGTACTGCCCAAGGGGGGCTAAACGCCGATCTTGGCTCAACCCGCAGAATCGCCGACCGCCCGGAATTTATCTTTTCGTCAACGGCAAGCTCACTTTCACTACTCTCAACCTGCACCGCGATCAGGTCTGCGGTTGCATCTCTTTTTATCTCTATTACATGATTTAGAGGAGTCTGTATCTTATCTGAACTCCCTTAAA